AAATTCTATTTTACAAAAACCAAATACTGAACATGAAGTTCTGATCATCGTTAACAAAATGTCAAATACACGTCAGACAAATACAACCTGATAAGGACCTTCAACTTCAGTGACAGCTCTCATAAAAGGATACAATAGGCTCCACCCCCTTCTATAGCACCATTGGTTGAAATTGCACAGATTGACAGCACAGTAAGAAGCAGGATGGTGTAAGCTAAGACGAACATCAATAAGGTCTGCAGCATTCCTGCTTCACCCACAACAAAACCTGAGAACATGGCAAAAACAAATAGTTATTAATTAAAATGTTTATGAGGTCTACATCTTGTAAAAGTATATAATAATTGGACTAAAGGTAGTTCTCTGTGAAAAAAAACAAAAAACTTTGCACAACTGGTTAAGATTTTTTTTTTTAATCTTTTATTAGGCTTAAGCCCCAAAAGTGATTTTGGACATTTTTGAAACAGTTCCCAGAATCTACAAACAACTATCATCCTGAAGCAAGTACAGGCAAAAAACAGTTTGTGGTAAGCTGCAGAACAAGTTTATAAAAATTTTACAGGCACCATTTCAACTTTACTGGTACCAGTGTCCATGTCATAGACCATGATTCATCAGTACAGTAGTTAGTGTTGTATTGCTGGGATATATTCTGATAAAGTAAAGGTCAAAGCCTGCATAATGCCAGTTCTGCCAACATCACACCATATGACTTTAACCTAAAACCAATCTAATCGCCAACAACATACAAACCCAACATTTCAGATAGCCCCAACATGTTGATCACATGTTTGTCCCTTTCTATGCATATGTATTGAGCAGTAGAGTTAATATTGAGTAGTCATATTTTTACTCAAAAATTCTCACTGATAGATACAGGAAACCAAGCTCCCCCCCCTCCCCCAGCAAATAAATTTCACTCAAAAATTCCTTGTCTTAAGTTTAACCTTAAAAGCTTTTCTGATAACCCTGATGGCTATGACTCATTCACCAGCTTTGCATTTATTATTTAAAATCATGTGATGACATGTCACAATGACTCACAGATATAAATTAATATTTTAAAAAAATTTAAATATAAAGAAAAATAGGATTTATATCATAACATATAAATAAAAAGAAAAAATCAGATTCAAATTGATATTTATGGTAAGAAAAGAACTGAAACACTGAAACCAAGGAAGAATTATCATTATGTTATCAAATAAAGGAACACAATACTAGTAAGCATTTAGGAAAAAAAATTTCGGTGCCTTTTAACACTCTTTTCTCCATCACAAATTCATAACCATTCACAGATTCATCAATAAAAACCATAAACCCGTTTTTCAGATCGAAATCAACTTGGAAAATTTCCTTCTCTTAGCTAACTGCTATCATTTCTCTTTTATTACTCTAAAACTACGTGATATATTCTCACACTTGTGTTTTTTCTTTTAGTTCTCCAATTTCTGGTCAATTTCAAAGCTCTACCCAGCAAGTCTACAGTATTTGCCAAGCTTGATACATCTTTTTTCAATATTTGTTTGTTCTCGTAGTTTTTCTTGAGGATGAAAATTTCAATTTTGGACTATGTCAGAATCTGTTTTTGGAAGTTATATTCATGCATAACTGATATTGATACTACCTTCTGTGTATACTATTTCTCATAACATATTTTCAGAAGTAAATTTTATGGCATCATTATCAGACCTATACGTCTACCCTTTTCTAATGATTGTTGGAATTGGTCATGCACTATGGAGGCAACAACTGAAAACTAGTCACGTGCTACATTCTTGATCGTTTTTTATGATCACTATTAGTCACTTACAGGTTAACTATTTTTTTATAACTACGAGGTCAAAAGATGTTTGGCACCTGCTCTACGCCTGCTAATTTTTCTTGATGATTAATCGTCACATAGAAGTGAACAGCCCTATAATACCAGCTCTATGCTTGGATACCTTTTTCCCAAATCAGTATTAAGGGTTACAAAGAGCACAAATATTGGTAGACAAAGCTTGGTGACAATGGCTCTAATTTACTTCCTGATAAAATCCACGGCAGTCGACTAGTTGTCCATTTGAACAAAATACACATTGGTATAAAATGTTGGCTATGTGTTTCTGCTATCATGCCTGTGGAATATTTCCTTTGTTTCTAGGACAAGTGGCACTGGCTTATCTGGGACCAATGTAGTCAACAAAAAATTTGGTCTGAAAGATCTGGTGAAATAAGCCTGTATTGCATAATATATTTCACCTGGGCACTGTGACCTAAGCTCACCTTTAGCAGGCTTACATAAGTGCAAGGACTACCAGTATATAATATACAAACAGAATATCAGCCTTGGTCAAATGTCTCGTGTGTGTGTGTGTGTGTGTGTGTGTGTGTGTGTGTGTGTGTGTGTTTGTGCATAGGTGTGCATGCATGCATGCGTGGACTTATATGAACTTCGAGCTCTCTCGTTAAATGATTAAAACCCATGCTCTGTGTTGTGCAGTTAAAGTACCCTACTAATACTTAGGCCCAGTAAAGAACACAACCCTTGGTACACTAAGTTTGATCACATAGTAAATAAGTTACTGAACACAAGCTGATATTTTTAACCACTGTAAGTTAACATCCAATTTGGTTGGAGGCCTTCATCAGAGTGATGTCAATTGATATTGGTATCATAAATAAAAATTGAAAAGAGCATTTATATGAGAGACATATAATATTTGGTTTTAACAATGGTTGTCTTTATGGCACTTGCTTTAATAAAATCAGTTCTTATCTACTTCTTTCCCCCTGATAAACGGGAGTCAAATTGCACAAAGAATTTACTCTATTTTGGTGTGTATGTATACGTGCATGTGTGTGTGTGTGTGTGTGTGTGTGCGCGCGCGCATGCACATGTGTGCGTGTGCATGTGGCAGTGCGTATGTACATTTTTTTTGTACATGTCAACTACCTGGATGGAAAGTGGATAAATGATTTGTAGATACAGTACATTACATCAATAACATTTAAGTTGGTGAGGGGGGGTCTAGGCAACATTCATTAATGGGGGAGGGGGGGTCAGTTCCATCTAAACATGTTGGAGAAGAACCAGGCACACCACCATGCACCCCTTGCGTTGAGGAATGTGTGTGTGTGTGTGTGTGTGTGTGTGTGTGTACATGCATGTGAGAGCGTGTGTGTGTGAGTGGGGGGGGGGGGAGAGTTCACATCACTTCCCTGAAGACAGCCTTGTCAGTTTTATCTTAAGAAAATTCCAGAAAAGCAAAGTGCCTCTTCTGTCTCAACCTCAAAACGCCATGCATTTAAATATGCTGGTATCTCAACAGTTTAATCACTGCTTGTAAATTAATATATAATGACACAAATCAAGATATATACATTGTAATATACTATAATCACGTGAAGCACGACTGCGCACACAATGAAAGAACATTTACAGTGTGCCCATGACATTAACCTACCTAATCGCAAAAACAAGACTACACTAAACATGGACAAAGCCACGGGGCAGAAGACTCCCATGAAAGTATTCAGCGTCCGTCGACTTCTTCCGTCTGCCGACTCCGCCCTCGCCCCCTCAATCCCGACGTCTGGAGCATCCTGATAAAAGCCGCTCAAACTCCGCTGAATTAGGTTAGCTATGTGAGGTGCATCTTCACCCAGTCCGTGATCAGCCAGTAGATTCTGATCCTCTTTAATTACTCGCCTTAATCGGGCTTCTGATTCAGTTTGAGTCGATCGCCTTCGCGGCATCGAACTCGGCGAGGACACCAGCTTCACCTTGTCATCCATTTCTGCGTCATTCGAACTCGATCCTCGCCAAAAATCCTCCACTACGAGAGGCGCTGTGTCGTCACCTGGATCGGAGTTAACTGACTCTAGGTTCCGCCCTCGACGAAGCGTATTACTAAATGCCATTGTATTAATTTCTACAGCGCATGACCTGACAAAATAGCATGTTTAGAAATGCTGGTAGGCCAAACAAAACGTCATGTGCTAAAGAGCAAGCAGCCTCGTTCTCAGTACAGGTTAAAGGTCAACTTTCAAGACAAGACAGCTGATGTGCGGGAAGAAAGATTTGTAGGGAGAAGCATTGAAAATATTGAAACTGACTCCTATGTTTTACTTCGTGGACGGATAATGAAATGAATAATTAAACTGAAAAATAGGTGATAAGAATTTATGGGGAATTCAATATATTTAGAAGGGAAAGGCTTATTTTTAATTAATTAATTATATTAATTATTATATTAATTAATTAATTTGTTTGTTTGTTTGTTTGTTCATTTATTATAACGTAGATTGAATAAGCAACTCAGTCTGCTAACTGAAATAATTCCACAATGTATGGAGACAATCCAATCATTAAACTTATTTATATATATATATGCTATAAAGTATCACGTTGTACTCTCAATGGCAAGTCTATTGCTCCAGCATGTAATCTGCATAAACTACACGCAATATATAGATATGTAAATACAGCAGTATAGCTACATGTATGTATACTGGTAGGTCTATATGTATGTGTAGTTCATGCATATAAGGACGAGTGCTACTGCCCTGTTTATTATCAAAATGCTCGTATCTAATCTCCTTCATGATGCCTTTGGTCTCTCTCGAGTTTCTTCTGTCGTAACCCGCTTAAATTGTGTATACAGAATTAATTATTGATTGGCAAAGGGTGCCAAATTCTCATTTATGAATTAATACAATAAAGACTCATTAATAGAAATTAAAAAGATGGTTGCAAAGGCAAATGGCATATGCAGTATGATTGGGTCA